TATGTATGCCACGTTTGTAACGAAGAATGGGTAATAGGAATTGCTAATTTATAATATATGCATGTTTTTGCACATAATTAGTAGCTTACATTATAAAAATAAAAAATGGTAAGAGGAACATACATTCGTTTATGTAGAGACTGAAACAAGAAGGCATGTTTTCACGTAGTGTCCACGTCCTATAATTTATATCATTTGTATATGTTTGATGACTTTATTTAGTATTTATTTTCATTTCAATTCAAAAATTTAGAAGTCAACATATATAATTAATTTGGTGTTATGTTTGATGACTTTATTTAGTATTTATTTTCATTTCAATTCAAAAATTTAGAAGTCAACATGTATAATTAATTTGGTGTTTAAAATTGTAAACGTTGAAGGATAATGTGAAAACTAATTCCATGAGGATATATGAGAGCATTTCAATTCAATTTATTTATTTTTAATGTTTTTGTAGTGTGTCCACCTGTATTTTCTCTTGTTTGTATTGAAAGTTTCACAACTCATTTCTTTCTGTGCATAATTATGAATTATTTTAATCAATTATTGACGATAGATGAAGTTAATTGTGACATAAAGAGCAACGATAACATTATGTCTTATTTTTTCTGTCTTTAATTATTTATCTAATATTTTTTACTTGTCTTTTTTAATAAATAAAAAAAGATAAATAATTAAGTACTTTTTGCCATTCGTTTAAAATTCAAACGTATTTGGTAGAATTACGACAAACACTTTAAAATCAAAAATTGAAAGTCAAACATACATATTTTGGTGTTTGACAATTGCAACGACGACGAAAACTATGGAGGATAGTGGGAAACGATTATTGATAACTCAATCATAGAGTTCCCACCCGAGCAACAAATATACCGTGGACGCTTAATCAAGTTTTATCGTGAAATAATATTTTTTATTATAAAAGTAAAATAAATTAATATTTGAACATTAAACTTTTTAACGTTTTATAAGTAATTTGGACGGAAAAGGTTAATTCTTGAAAATTTTGAAATATAAAAAAAAATATGATTTTTAGAATTCAACCTCACAAAAAAACTGAAAAAATTCATAGCCACAAACGCTTTTGTTTTATGTTCATATTCTTGTGATTTTTCAAGTGATCATGTAGAAATATGCTAATATTTTTTATCGTGGTACTTTGCTCTTTTAATATATTTAAAAATGGATTAAGGAACCTACATTCGATTATGTAGAGATTACTGAAAAAGGAATAAAGAACAGATCATGTTTACACGTCGTGTCACGATATAACTTTTACTAATCTAACAAAAATTGCCTATTTCCGAAATGATCTACTTTTTGTCCTCTTTTAAAAGTTTTCTTTTTTTTACAACTTGATATTTATATTAAAGTTCGATTAAATTTATATTTGCACAAAAAAATTCCATATTGAAAGTAAAACAATTCATAAAAAGGTGACTCTGTATCTAAAGAGACTCCTTTTATTAAGAATGAAAGAATACTTACCACTCTATCACAATTCTTATCGATTTTCTCTATTAAAAGTTGGGGTCACGAACAATTATTATTATAAAATTGACATGCAAAATAATTTACTTTTATCATTTTTCATTAATGACGTCAAAAAATAAAAGGTAAACATGAAATTAAAAAGGTTCAGATTTGTCCAAAATGGAAAAAGAAAAATTGAACACACATCAAAGATAAATTAAAGCAAATATCACATTCAGCATCAACATCACTAGACACCACAATAATATCAACAATTATAACAAAAAAAAAGAATAAGTAAAACAAGGAACAAAATGTTCGATTTTCTGCAATTAACTAATAAATGAACTATTATTTAAAGTAGAAGTTGTATTAAGAATAAACTCAAAATGCATTTTATTTGGGAGTGAGTTAAAGGAAAATGGGAGAGGAGGTTGTCCTAAATAAGAGTAAAATATTTAGATCGAGTTGATTTGTATTTTTCGAATATCATATCAATCAAATTAAATTATCTATACTATTTTTTAAGTTTATAAACTAAATTATACAACTATTAAAGTCGATTTTCAACCTCAAATTTTTTTTCGAACCCACAAGTTACAAATATGTTCCACGATTCAAATTTTGTGGGAACAAGATCCATTACAACTCAATTCTTTTTATTTTTGAAGTATGTCCAGCTATTTTAATTTATTCTCTCGTATTTTTTTATATTGTTTAAAATATTTTTTTTGGTAATTCTTTTATTTGTTATAATTTTTGATAGATATAATTATTTGATATATGTTGCTGGTGATAGATTTTTCATAAAAAATTAATTAAAATGCGCAAAAGTAAATAAACATATAACAAAAAATCAATTCATGATGATAATAATTTTGTTGGAAGTATCACAACAACTCACTGATAAAATTTTAAAAACAAATTATCCAACTTTGCCCTAAAGAATCACAATAAATCACTAAACAATTATTTCCTAATAAAACGATATACTATTTTACTTTGCCCAATTATACCATAAAATATCTCTTTAAATTTGTCTTCTCCTAATGACTCTATATGGTACCTTCTTCTTTAAAATTAGGGGAGACGAATTGAGAAATGTGAGGGGAGATAATTATAACGTGGAAAATTGAATTTTCATCAAAAGTAAATATTTATACAATTAACTAATTAATGAAATTGTTAAGATTCTTCAACTTTATGTAATATTTCGGCAAAATTAACTATATCTTCATTCATAGAAAATAATTTAATAACTTTATTGTAATAAAAAATATTGAGTAATATTTAAATCGTCATTTGATAATTGTTTGATGCGAGGGATAAAATAGAGCAACTTTCACATATAGTAAATAAAAGATTTATATTTGTATCTTATAGCAAAGTTTGCATAATTGCGTTCCATAGCAAACATAGAAACTATATAATTCGTTATACAAATAGTGTTGAAGCAAATTGTATAAAACGAAGTATATAAAACAAGAAAGAGAGAGACACTTGGGAAGAGAACTGTATAAAAACGAAGTGTATAAACCGAATTGTATTATTACAAGTGTATAGAACGATTATATACAATTTGACTTGTATAAAATGAGAAAGAGAGAGACAAAAGAGACTTGACAAGGAATATATAATTGAATCGAATTGTATAAAATGAGAAAGAGAGAAATTAGATACAATTTGAAAATTGTATAAAACGAAAAAGAGAGAAAGACAAAAGAAACTGGGCAGGGGAGTTGTATAATTATAAGTGTATAAGACGAAAATATATGTACTTGCATGTGTATATACAATTTTCTCACGCTTTATACAAACAGGAACACAATTTATATATTTCTTCTGTTTGTATAAGTGGAAAAGCGAGGGTGGCGAGCGAGATCTGAAAGAGGGGAACAAAAATATATCTATTTATACAATTTTCTCTGCTTTATACAATTAGAAACAATTTTTATACACTTGTGTTTGTATAAAAAGTGAGGAAGCGAGCAAGAGATTGGAGGAGAGTGGCGAACCCTAGCTACTCCATTTATTTTAGGTTAATAGTTTGTTATTATATGCAATTTCCCCTAAAATAAAATAGCCTTGGGATAAAAAATAGTTTAAAGATAAAAGAAAGTTTATTTTCTTGTTTGATGGTCATATTTTTAATAATTTATTTTACCATTTATATCATAATAATGAGATAAACTATCTTATATACATGATAAGATAAATTATCTCAAAAAAATTAATTTTAAAATATTAACCCTAAAATAATTTATTCTCAAGCAAGCTATTTTCAAAATCAACAAACTTTTCGGTGTAATGATTGAAATTAGCAAATGTTTTGATCGTAGTCAAAAAGGAGATAAAATATGTTTGTTTATTTTGGTGGCTTTTAAGCAAATAATAAATATTTGATTACGTTCATAAAATTAATTGAAAGCTTTTACTGTTTTAAATAAATTATTTTCAAGGAATCCGTGTAGGGTATATCTTTTTTTCTAAAAGTAAGTTTATTATTTTAAGCTATGATTGAATACATGCCTTTATTTAGAACAAGATTATCAAATGATGATTTTATATAATCAAATATCATTCACATACTAATTGATTTCCTCTAGCAAATAAAATAAAAATATGAATATACATATAACAAAATTCTAAATGACTTAGAATTCATATTCTTATTTTAAGTTGTATAGTTCCAATTTAATTATATTTTTTAGTATTATAAATAGGGTCTGTTATATAACTTTTTATGTTCTAACTTATAATACATATACATATTATAATAATAATAATTATTATTTTATTTCTTAAATATGTTAATTGGCATAAACAAAGTAACTAAACTACGAAGTTGACATTTTCATATACTCTGAATATTACGGGGTGAAAAATATTGAATAAATTATTCAAAATAAGAAAATCTACACAATCTTATATAATTTTGATTATATTTTTTATTTTTAACGTATAAGTATAACGCACATATGCTCTGAATGTTATGGGATGTAAAATGTTGATTAAATTATTCAAAATAAGAAAATAATTCTACACTATCTTATATAATTTTAATTATGCTTTCGATTTTTAACTTATGGATAAAAAGCACACGGTAAATATTGATAAAGTCAAATTAATTTATACTCCAATCTATGATAATAGTCTCTAAAAATAGCTCATAGATTCATATAACTATAACTGTGCTAATTATAGAAAACAGTTTGATTCCAACTCAAATTAAGAATGACATTTAGCGTAATTTTTGTTTTCAACATAAAGAAATATACTAACTAAAATAAATTAGTGTGCCACGTGGCGAATAATAATTTCGAGAAGACATAAATGCCCCGGTAAGGTCGCTGGGATAAAAGTCCCATGTTCGGCGGCACAATATTCCATTTCCGTGTCTGTCGGTGACGTGCAATATAGTAATTCTATACAACTTCAAGGGTATTATCGACAATTGGGAATATCAATTACAAATAAACAGCTCTTTTTTTTATATATAATTTTTTCAGTAGAAACTTTTTTGTATTATAGTTGGAATCTTCTTGTTCTTTGATTTTTCATTGTCAATATACAAAATAAGCTTATCATTTTCCTTGTTATACTTTTATGCTGCCTTAAAAGCTTTGACAAACTTGGCTCTGCTTTTTCTTGAAGCTTTATTACTTGTGAGTTTCACTATATTTATTTAGCTTCTAAATTTTTCAGTACATTTTTTTATTGAAAAAGAAGTTGTGGTACTACTTATTTTCTCGTTTCAAGAATTGGGTATTCATTAATTTTCTGTTGTTTGTCAGATACTTAATGTAAAGATTTAATCTTTTTTACTAGTAGGTGAATTTTTTTCAAGATTCATGGTGGGTTTGTAGTTTGTACAGTTCTTGCTGTTGGTGTCAAAGATTTGAGGGAAAAGGTAATTACAGCTTTTTATGATTCTTGGTTGTGCTGTTGGAGTTTGGTGAGTTGGTGCCAACATTGACAAGATGTTTTCTTCTCAGATGCCTGAGAAAGCTGGAAATTTTGGGTGGGGTATGAGGTCTAATAACCCCAAAGTTCAGTGGTGGTTTAAGCTATTGACAATGGGTGTTTTTCTTGGGATCTTGATTGTGTGGGGGATTGATGGTGTTAGTGTGGGTAGTTTTCAGAGAGATTTTGTTTTGTTGAAGGTGAATAGTTCAAGAAAGTTTAGTCCTGGCTTTAAAGATTTTAGCTTTACTAATATTTCTTTAAGACCTCATTCTGTAAATACTCAACAGAATTTGAATCGAGATTTTGCCCGAAAAAATCTTGCTCCTAAAGTTGAACCTCAACCAGTTAATTTGACTGGAAATCAAGGTAATGCCCCTGATTTCAGTCTTGAAATGGTATCTAATAAGGAACTGGAATGGGTAGAGGATTCAAGACCAGGAGTTTTTAGGTGGATTTCAGCTGAATTAGAGGCAAACTATTCGTCGAATCTTCTTACTAAGTGGTTGGCTCCTGGTGGCGAGCCGTGTAGGGATTCAAGAACTGTGGATGTGAAAATCCCTGCTTTGGATGGTCGTGAGAATATTGAGTTGTCAACTGGGGATATTCATGAGTTTGTTTTTCATGCATTGGATGATTCTGGAAAACCTCATTGTTTGGGTGGTGATTATTATGAAACTGATATTTCTGGTGAAACATGGAAGTCTAGGCCTCCAATGAAAGATTTTGGCAATGGGACTTATCAGTTTTCCCTGCAAGTCCACCCTGATTTTGCTGGAGATTACAATCTTACAATCATCCTACTATTTCGACATCATGAAGGCTTGAAGTTTTCGCCTGTAAGATTTGCATTTGACAAGGTTCTGCGCGTGATCCCAATCAAATTCTCCAAGTCCTCTGTTGATTTACCTGAAATATCTCAATGCAAGAAGTCAGATCTTGTTAGAGATGTTTGGTCTGGTCGATGGACTCGTCATGCCAAGAATGATAGCTGTCCAATTAGTAGAGATGGGAGATACAGATGCCAAGAACCAAATTTCCCATGCCAAAAACCATGGTGTGATGGTCCATTGGGATCCTTGGAGAGCAATGGTTGGGTATATTCAACACATTGTTCATTCAAGATGTTCTCAAGTGAAGAAGCATGGAATTGTTTGAAGGATCGTTGGATTTTCTGGTGGGGTGATTCGAATCATTGTGACACAGTGAGAAACATCCTTAATTTCATTTTAGATGTGAATGATATAAAGGACGTCCCAAGAAGATCTGATTTGAACGTCACCAACCCGAGGAATCCATCACAAACAGTTCGATTTACTAACATTTTCAATGGGCATCATAACCAAACAGGAAATTATCAAGGCTTGAATTCATTGAGAGATGCTGGCTATAGAGAACTTTTGAAAGGCTACTTCTCTGGACATGTTGTTCCAGACACTATAATCATGAATTCAGGCTTACATGATGGAGTGTTTTGGCCTAATGTTAGGCATTTCATGGAAGGCGCGGACTATGCTGCATCATTCTGGGCTGAGGTATTTAATGGGGTAAGGCAGAGAGGGTTGACACCACCCGAAGTCATATATAGGACCACAATTACCACCGGAGGATATGCTAGACAATTAGCATTCAATCCAAGTAAAATGGAGGCCTTCAATGGTGTAGTCTTGGATAAGTTTAGGGCATATGGTTTACTTGATCGCGTCATTGATGATTTTGACATGACTTATCCATGGCACTACGACAACAGATGCAATGACGGGGTGCATTATGGCCGTGCTCCTGCCAAGTTGAAGTGGAGGGATGGCCAGATTGGGCACCAATACTTTGTGGACGTTATGCTTGGTCACGTGCTGATCAACACGTTATGTGCAAGATAGATGATGGCGAGTTACCTTCTGAGATGCACAGGTAACCTTCAAGCAATTGATGGTGCATTTCAAGCTTGGTTACTAGAATTGAATTTTGCAAGTTATATTCTTGATCTATTTTTATGTATCTTACTGTTATTATGTTTTCTGGATTTTCTTCCACGTTGTAGGCCAATACTAGAGGTTGTATAGGTGAATACTATAGAATAGTGTTTATTATTCATTTTTTGAGCTTCTTGTAGTCCTTTTTGCTTGGACTAGTGTAAGATGCTATGAATATTACTATTACCATTTGCTCCATTTATTTATTTATTTTCACCTTCAAATGAAAACAAAATACCTGTTGTGCTTTAGAGTTGATGGCTTAAAACTCGGATGGTAAGCACCCTTACGTCCAACCTAAGGTTGTGAAGAGCAAAAATGTGGGAGCTTTTAGGGAGGAATTCAATAGTAGATGACTAAAGTATTTCAAAATTATCACAGTTTTGCGAGTTTCATATTTGGTTCTTCTCTGCTAGATTCAACTCTTTTCTTTTGAACTAGCTCAGGCTATCCATGCTCTTTAAGTGATATTTTTTTTTATTGGGCATTTAGATATGCGATTTGGGATCTTGATTTCAGTATTCTCCAAGAGCAAGATTTGAGATTCCAAATCCTGATTTCAATTTTTTTTAAAATGTAAAACTTGAACCATAAGTTAACATTTCGTAAGAAAGACTCATCATTTTAAATTTTGAAAAAAATAATAATTCGATTCAGTATGAAGAGATTGTTTTTATCATGTAAAAAGAAATTATATTAAAGAATTGTTAGTCACTACTTTTGTTGACTAGTGAATCTTAAGAAAATACTCTCTATTTGATAGTTTGTAATTTGAAACATAATAAAAATGAAGGAATATGTGATTTATCAGTGTGATGTCTTCAAATATTTGCTTATAAATTATGTTTTGTTCATTTTAGTTGTTGTAATAGTATTGTTTAATGAAAAGACGGCATGATGTATTGGGTTGAAGGTTTAGTTATTCACTTGGAAAACTAAAGATCAATTCCCAATTTTTATTTTATTTTTTAATAATGTATTTATATTCTAAAAATTTTAGATTTTGGAATATTTGTTGTTATGTTGGAACCTGTAGACAAGTTATTTTCACCCATTGTTTTGTTTCTGTCTTCACATTCACCTTGTGAATTAATGTCAGCTTTATCAGAATCCCCTCTATTGCCCTTTAATTAGAAGAGAAGAGTTGATAAGAGGTATTAACCGCAAAAAAAACGATAGAGTTAAATTTATATGATTTGTGTGTATCGGTCGATTTGGTTTAATTTTATATATTATTAGTTTGATTTATTGATTTTTTAGTTTTAAATATGTCAAATTAATAAGATGTTTTTATTGGTTCTCGATTTATAGGTTTTGGTCCTTGTGATTCGTTTTTTAATTTAATCTATAAAAAAATACTTATAAAATAAATATGTGACTTTTCTAGTAAATTTGATGCGAAAACACAATAATGTAACTTTACAAATGCTCATAAAATAGAAACAATAAGAACAAACATGAAAAAGAACTATACAAGTGTAACACAAAGAGAAATTAAGAAGAATACGATTCTTATTTAGATTTTAACATTTTGCATAATGTAAAATTGTGACTCAAAGTTATTGTATAGTGTGAATTGAAGGTTAAAGGACAAAGATAATAACTAGTTAGTTATTGAAATTTATATATATTCATGTACAAGTAAAAGTAATAAATTACTAGTCTTAATGGGTTATTGGTTTACCCAATATATAAAATCTTATGTTTGCCCTTTAATGAGAAGAGAAGAGTGGACGAGAGTTTTTAATGGAAAAAAAAATGGTACAGTTAAATTTGTATAACCAATACATATGCATTCAATTGACAGAATTGATGCAACATTAAGTCCATTTTGGAAGGACAACCTGATAATTGTATTTAGTGCAATTGGTAATTATATTGTTTGTCTGTATGTTCTGTTTGATTGGAGAGAATAATTACTTGATCAACGGGTAGACTTGATCAACGGATAGTTGATGTAATTGATAGGGGTAATTATACTCTACAATTCACATGTACTCGTTGTGAATTGCTGGCAATTACATGATCACTTTTTATTTAATTTTTTATATTTCTATTTTTATCTTTTTACTTCTATTATTTTAAGTTTTTATTTTTATTCTATTTTTATTACTGTACAAAGTGATTTTATTCAATTTTTTCATATTATCTATTTCTTTATGTCATGCTTATTTTCTCATTAGCATAATTTATTAGTATTCTAAGTTTTAAAGTAAAATAGAATTTATTGTTAAGTAAGGTTATAGACTTACGTTTTTTTTAAGAAAAGAATAAAAATAAATCATTTTATGCATGCTATGTAGAAATTTGCTATAAGAAAATTATGTTAATTTTTTTGTTTTGAATTTATAACTTATGTTATATTTTCAGTTTCATTTGTTTTGGTAATATTGAATTCAAATTGCACATCATTTTTTTAATTAGACTTGATAGATTATATTTTTGTCAAACATTTAATAACTTATGAAATTTTATTTGAATATTAATATTTTTATCAAATATGCATTTCATTTCATGATGTTCGTATAAACTTCATTCTTTTAGTTTCTACAATCAATTCAATTGAAATATATTAATTTGAAAAAATATAGATCAATTACTTTTTCATAATATTAGTTAAAAGAAAATATGTTTATTAATTAATATATTTTCAAAAAAGAATATATATCTTAAAAATTTAATTTAATGTCATTTGTAAAGTTTCTTATTTGTTTTTTTTATAAATTTTAAATAATTAATTTTTATTTTTAAAATTTAATATAATTTTATGATTGTAATTGTGTATCCAAATAAAATATGTGTATTTATACTGTAACATCCAAAAATGACATGTGTAATTACATTGTGACAATCAAACATGTCAGTGTAATTATCAGGCTGATAATTATTATCCTAAAATTACACCAATTTCAATTATCAGGTGATTTTTCAAACAGAACGTAAACAAAACAAATGTTATGATATTAAGTAAAGTCTAAAGTTCTAGAAATTAACATAATCTAGACTTGAGTTCACTTACAAGTCCATGATGACAACTATGAAGCATAGTGAGAAAAGATTAATTAGTATTCTTTCAATAATCAATAAGGGCAGAAAATTCAAAACTCAACCATATTAATTTAACCCCTGATGTTTTTTCCAGGTCACAAACTTTGGGAGACGCAGTCGATACCGATGCCTCAATAAATTTTTTTTAAAAATGTGTCATACACCAAAATTTAATACTTAATATGGATTAGAGGGAGTAGAACAACACTTTTGATTCTCTAATTATTGGTAATTCAGGATTTTGGTTCTTTTGGCATACGACATTTTAAACATGTAAACTATGTTTTATGCCTAATTCATAATCCAAAAGCTAGCTCAAAGGGAGGAGAATTATCCAAGCCTTATAAGGAGTCCACTCATCTCATTAATCATCGATGTGGGAGATTTTTGTCATTCTTTAACACCCCATCTCACGCTCAGTGCTTAACATCTGGTGCGTGGACAATTTGATTTTGAGGGATGGACACTGCTCTATACCATGGTGAAATTAGGTCGTAGGCCTAAACTCTCACCCCAGAAGCTAGCTCAAAGGGAGGATGATTACCCAAGCCTCATAAAGAGTCCACTCATCTCATTAACCACCGATGTGGGGAACTTTCATTCTTTAACAAGTCCATATGCTTGTGAAGTTTAACAAATTTAATGAATTATTAATTGTATCTATTTAGTTAGCTAGTACTCATGTGTCATGTTAATTTATATAGATATTTCATGATTTAAGGATAATAATTCAGAAAATAGTCTGAATTTAAGATCAAAGCACATATTTGAATTAATTAAAAGCCAAATATGCTTAATAAAATATCAGAAGAACCAAAATCAAAATTCGATAGTATTGTGAGATCAAAAGTGTTATTTCCACCCCACCCCCAAAATAATACTTCATTAATAAAGACCAATTTGAATTGCCATTTGCTATGGCATCATCTTCTATAAGTGTTAATTGAAAGCTAAGTTTGGAGTAGTGATTGCAATTTGCAAACAGAATTATCATAATTTAGTATATTAAAAAAAAGAAGACAAAAGATTGATTGTGACATCACATTAAATGAAAGCTTCTCCTCGATCTTTTTCTAAATAATTTTCAAAAGATTTATTTAGTATCTCCATCCCATTTTATATCTCACATTTTAAATTTCAAGAGTCAAATAAGTTTATCTTTGACTGTGAGTTTTTCATAGATCGTTTAAACATTTTAAATTATCAATTACTATGACTCATAGTACCTTTTACATAGTTTATAAATATGTAAATTTCATTTCAAATAATTAAAGATTTCATGTGCGAATTTTCGATCAAACTTAATTTATTTGACTCTCAAAACATAAAATGTCTCATATAACCGAGAGAGTTTATCTTTTCTAAAAGTGAGTCTATTTTTTTTAGTTATGATTTATATCAGACTTTTATTCGAAATAATAAAGACGATCCAATGATAAATTTGTATAAGAAATTTGACGTATTAATTGATTTACCTTTTTATTTATCAATTTATTTGTGTGTAGTACGTTGAACGAAATAAATATAATAAAGATATCGTCACACTTGACCTATACTATGACATTTTTGCAAAATAGTACTCCAACGGCTCCTACTTGGCATTCTTTGCTCATCAACTTTGTATCATCTCTATGAACTTGGACAAATTTGAATGTGTATAAAGATCTTTCTATTTTATAAATGAGATAATAAAATTTTATTCTTTTAGTCTGATCAAGTGCATTTAACATTAAATAAGAAGTACAAATATGAAACATATATATATATTAGATAACATACAAAATCAACTTAAAACATTTTCTGATATTAATCAAAAAGATTTGTGGCAAAAAGTTAGTCTTTTTAAGCCAATAAAGTGAAAGTTTTTCAAGATTCTTGGTGGGTTGTGTTGTTCTGTTGGTTGAATTTTGGTAGATTGGTGTCAGCATTGGCAATATGTTTGAGAAATCTGCAAATTTTGGTTGGGTTATAAGGTCAAATAGCCCCAAGATTCGATGGTGGTTTAAGATATTGGCGATGATTCTTTTTTTTGGAATCTTGATTGTGTGGGAGATTGATAGTTCAGGTAAGTTTAGTCCAGATTTCAAATTTACCAATGTTATCGAGTATTACAGTTTTTGGTTAAATACTTACCAGAATCAAGTTCATGCCCCT